CCGCTGAGGGGCCGATGGGGGGCCGGGGGGGCCCCGGGGCGCTGGGGGTGCTGGCGCTGGGGGCGCTGGGGGTGCTGGGGGTGCTGGGGGTGCTGGTGCCCCCCGCCCGCCCCGCCCGCGTCTCCTCCAGCCTCTCGACCACCCACCACGTGCACCACTTCCACGGGCGGCACGGCACGGCGCCCATCGCCATCAACCGCGCGCCCTTCCTCACCCGCGGGCACCACGGTGAGCCTTCAGCCTCGTCCTCATCATCCTCACCTTCCTCATCATCCTCATCATCATCATCTGTACCCTTATCATCATCATCATCCTCATCCTCCCCATCGCCATCAACCGCGCGCCCTTCCTCACCCGCGGCCACCACGGTGAGCCTTCGGCCTCATCATCCTCATCCTCACCTTCCTCATCATCATCCTTATCATCATCCTCATTCTCACCATCATCATCATCCTCATCCTCCCCATTGCCGTCCTCCTCACTGCCTCGGGAACCTGGAACAACCTTCCTCTTCCTCCTCCTCTTCCTCCTCCTCCTCCTCCTTCTCCTCCTCCTCCTCCTTCTCACCTTCCTCCCCTCCTCCTCCTCCTCCCTGGGGGGGCCCTGTGGGGTCTGTGCCCCCCCCGTGTGTCCACGCCGTGTCACGCTCGGGATTGGGGTTTTGGGGTGATTTCGGGTGCTTTTGGGTGTTTTGTGATGGTTTCGAGCTGCGTTCCGGTGGTTTTGGGGTATTTTGGAGTGGTTTGGGCATCATCCGTACCCTTATCATCATCCTCATCATCATCCTCATCCTCATCCTTCCCATTGCCATCAACCGCGCGCCCTTCCTCACCCGCGGGCACCACAGTGAGCCTTCATCATCCCCATCATCATCCTTATAATCATCCTCAACATCCCTGTCCTCACCATCCTCATCCTCAGCTTCCTCATCATCATCATCCTCATCCTCACCTTCCTTGTCATCCTCAACATCCCCATCCTCATCCTCCTCATCCTCACCTTCCTCATCCTCCTCATCCTCACCTTCCTCATCCTCATCATCCTCATCATCCTCATCCTCTTCCTCTTCATCATCCTCATCCTCCCCATCAACCGCGTGCCCTTCCTCATCCGCAGGCACCACGGTGAGCCTTCATCGTCCCCGTCCTCACCCTCATCATCCCCATCATCATCCCCATCATCATCCTGGGGTTTTTTGAGTGTGTTTGGGGTTTTTGAGTGTGTTTGGGGTTTTTGGAGTGTGTTTGGGTGTTTTGTGATGGTTTTGGGTGTGCTTGGCGTTTTCTGGGGTGTATTTAGGGTGTTTTGGCATGGTTTGGGGTTTTTTTGGGGTGTCTTTGGTTGTTTTGGGAAGGTTTAGGTGGTTTTGGCTGTTTTGGATGTATTTTCAGTGTGTTTGTGCACCCTCCTGCAAGACCATGGCGGGGGAGACCAGAGGCACCCCCAGGCATTGGGGGGTCCTGATGTCCCCACAGCCCCTCCCCCAAATTCAGGACCCCCCCAAGTCTCGGAGCCCTCCCCACTCCTCAGGATCCCCCCTGGATGTCCCCCAAATTCAGGGCTCCCCACTCATCCTCCCCATTGCCATCAACCACGTGCGCCATGGTGAGCCTTCATCATCACCCATATCATTCTCATCTTCCTCATCTTCATCTTCATCCCAGTCATCATCACCTTTCTCATCCTCCTCATCCTCTCCATTGCCATCACCTGCGTGCCCTTCCTCACCCCTGGGCACCATGATGAGCCTTCATCACCCTCAACATCATCACCTTCATCCTCCTCTTCCTCATGGCCATCCACTGGGCCTTCCTCACCTACAGTGAGCCTTCATCACCCTCCTCATCAACCTTCCCCCTCCTCCTCCTCACAGGGACCCCAAAACCCTCATCATCATCATCATCATCGTCATCATCATCCTCTTCCTCAGCCTCAGGCTCCCTCAGCCTCCTCTTCACAATGACAGGGACACAGATGGCCTTCCTCCCCCTCTTCCTCCTCCTCCTCCTTCACCTCCTTCTCCTCCTCCCCCTCTTCCTCTTCCTCCTCCTCCTCCTCCTTCTCCTCCTCCTCCTCTTCCTCCTTCTCCTCCTCCCGTTTCTCACCCTCCTCCTCCTCCCCAGCTGCTCGCGGGTACTTCAGCCTGGCCTTCCTCCCCCTCCTCCTCCTCCTCCCCTGTCACCGCCTCTTCCTCCTTCTCCTCCTCCTCCTCCTCCTCACTGCCTCGGGAACCTGGAACAACCTTCCTCTTCCTCCTCCTCCTCATGAACGCTGGTGTCCCCCCCCAAAAAAAAAATTCCAGATCACCCCCAAACTCCGGGGTCCCTCCTGGACCCCCCCACGTGCCCCAACTCCAGGGGGGTCCCCCTGCCCTCGGGGACCCCCAAACCCCTGAGCACCCCCAGATCCGCCTCCCCCCGCTTGCCCCCCTGACCCCCCGCTTTTCTCTCCCCCCCCAGCGGGCACCACGTACATTTTCGGCAAGGGGGGGGCCCTGATCACCTACACGTGGCCCCCCAATGACCGGCCCAGCACCCGCGCCGACCGCCTGGCCCTGGGCTTCAGCACCCGGCAGCGCGACGCGGTGCTGCTGCGCGTGGAGAGCGCCGCCGGGCTCGGCGACTTCCTGCAGCTCCACATTGTAAGGGGGGGCCAGAAATTGGGGTACGGGGGTGCTGGGAGGGGCTGGAGGTACTGCATCATAAATTAGGGGGTGGGGGGTTCATGGGGGTCTTAGGGGGTTTGGGGGCTTTGGGGATTCCTGGTCAAGCCAGGTTTGGTGAATTCCCGCAGCTCCACGGCTTAAGAGGGGACAAAATTGGGGTGCAGGGGGTTTAATGGGGGTCCGGGGGGTCTCCAGGACTCCTTGGGGGTCCTGGGGGGCTTTGGGGGTACAGGGAGGGGGGGCTCTGTGGATTCCTGTTAAAATCCAGATTTGGCGATTTTCCTGCATCGTAAGACTGACCAAAATCGGGGTGCTTGGGGGAAGGGGGGGTCCATGGGACAGGCACCCACCGGTGCCCCCCGTGCCCACCCCGCAGGTGCAGGGGGCTGTGGGGGTCCTGTTCAACGTGGGCACCGAGGACATCGCGCTGGAGGAGCGGGGGGCGGCCGTCAGCGATGGGCGCTTCCACGTCGTCCGCTTCACGCGCAGCGGCGGCAACGCCACGCTCCAGGTGGACGGCGGCCCCCTGCACGAGCGCTACCCGCCAGGTACCCCCCGCCGCGCCCCGGGCACCCCAGGGCCCCTAGAGACACCCCCAGGTATGGCCCAGGTGTTCCCCAGGGCTCCTACAGACCCCGCAGGTGCTCCCCAGGTGTTCCCCAGGTGTTCCCCAGGTGTTCCCCAGGGCTCCTACAGACCCTACAGGTGTTCCCCACGCGCTGGAGGAGCGGGGGGCGGCCGTCAGCGATGGGCGCTTCCACGTCGTCCGCTTCACGCGCAGCGGCGGCAACGCCACGCTCCAGGTGGACGGCGGCCCCCTGCACGAGCGCTACCCGCCAGGTACCCCCCGCCGCGCCCCGGGCACCCCAGGGCCCCTAGAGACACCCCCAGGTATGGCCCAGGTGTTCCCCAGGGCTCCTACAGACCCCGCAGGTGCTCCCCAGGTGTTCCCCAGGTGTTCCCCAGGTGTTCCCCAGGGCTCTTACAGACCCTACAGGTGTTCCCCAGGGCTCCTACAGACCCAGCAGGTGATCCCCAAGTGATCCCCAGGTGTTCCCCAGGTGTTCCCCAGGTCTCTTACAGACCCTGCAGGTACCCCCCAGGTACCCCCCAGGTACCCCCAGGGCTCTTACAGACCCCACAGATGTTCCCCAGGTACCCCCAGGGCTCTTACAGACCCCACAGGTACCCCCCAGGTACCCCCAGGTGCCACTCAGGGCTCCCCCAGACACCCAAGGGACACCCCAGGTGCTTGGGGACACCCCTATGGCACCTTGAGACACCACAGGGACACCCTGGGACACCCCTATGGCACCTACAGGGACCCCAGGGCACCCCCAGAGCCCCCCCAAGTCCCCCGTGGCACCTTTGGACACCCCGGGGTCACCCCAGGTGCTTGGGGACACCCCAGAGCCCCCCCCTAACGAGGGCACTAACGAGGCAGCGCTAACGAGGGGTCCCACAGCCACCCCCCGCCCCTCCCCCGCTA